ATATAATGTCTCTTCCCTTCTCTTTTTTACCTTAGTAATAATAATAATAACGTCTCCCACCCCTCTTCTTCTTCACCTTAGTAATAATGGCTCTTCCCTTCTCTTCTTTACCTTAGTAATAATAATAATGTCTCCCGCCCCTCATCTTCACCTGAGTAATATAATAATAATAATAATAATAATGTCTCTTCCCTTCTCTTATTCACCTTAGTAATAATAATAATAATAATGTCTTCCCCCCTCTTCTTCACCTTAGTAATAATATTAATAGTAATAATAATAATGTATCCCACCCCTCTTCTTCACCTGAGTAATATAATAATGTCTCTTCCCTTCTCTTCTTCACCTTAGTAATAATAATAATAATAATGTCTTCCCCCCTCTTCTTCACCTTTGTAATAATATTAATAATAATGTCTCCCACCCCTCATCTTCACCTGAGTAATATAATATAATGTCTCTTCTCTTCTTCACCTTAGAAATAATAATAATAATGTATCCCGCCCCTCATCTTCACCTTAGTTAATATAATAATAATGTCCTTTCTCCCCTCTTCTTCACCTTAGTAATATAATAATAGTAATACAGCCTCTCTTCTCCCCTCTTCTTCACCTCCCTTTTCCTCACCTTAGTAATAAGAATTATTATTATACTTTCACTCTTCCCCTTCTTCTTCTTCACAATAATATCAAATAATGCTTTCTCTCTTCCCTTCTTCACATTCCTCCTCTATCTTAGTAATAATATTCTTTACCTCCCCCTCTTCTTCTTCTTCTTCACAATAATATCAAATGTTTTCTCTCTTCCCTTCTTCACATCCCTCCTCTATCTTCGTAATATTCTTCACCTCCCTCCTCTTCTTTACCTTAGTAATAAGAATTATTATTATATTTTCTCTCTTCCCCCCTCTTCTTCATCTACCTCTTCTTCACAATAATAACAAATAATGCTTTCTCTCTTCCCCCTCTTCTTCTTCACATCCCTTTTTTCCCCAACAATAATGTTTTCTCTCTTCCCTTCTCCTCCTCTTACTAATAATAATGCTTTCTCTCTTCTCCCTCCTTCTTCAGCCCTCCTCCTCTTCCTCATCTTAGTAATAATAACAATAACAAAAATTATGCTTTCTCTCCTTTCCCCTCCTCTTCTTCACACCCCTTCTCTTCTTTTTCATCTTAGTAATAATAATGATGATGATGCCTTCTCTCACCTCCCTCCTCTTCTTCATCTTAGTCCTAATATTGTACACAACATAGTTTTTTTAAAAAAAATCCATAGAATACATTCATCACAATGCATTCCTTATGAATTGCCACCTATTAAAATGCTCAGGATTCAAAGATCCAAATGCAGCAGGCACAGGACGTGACTTTAAAATCTATAGTTAAAGCACTGGCTGCTGGCTCCACGCGTTGAAAAGGCGCGTTTTTTTTCACACTCCCCCCGTCTCCCCGGTGTGATTCTTCCCCCAGGGCTGGAGGCTTTTCCTGAGAAGCGTGTATGTTTGAGTGTGTGTGTATGTGTCTCGGTGGGCTTCTCAGATCCTTGGAGGAGATGGCAGGAGAGGCCCAGCTTGGGGGGGGGGGGCGAGGGAGGGAGAAAGGTGTCAATGGCAAGCGAGCCCCTTCCTTGCTTGCCTCCCCTCCTCCCGTTCTTCCTCGGCCCTCCTGCGCTAGAGAGGCCTGGCCATTGCGTCTGGGGATGTGGGGTGGGCTCCCTTCCCTTTATCCAAAGCTGCTCCCCCCTCCCTCCTTCCCTCCCTTTAACAGAAGGATGAAAGGCCCTTTTCCCTGGAGGCGGGGCAAGGAAGGAGGCTCGCGTTTTGGGCCTTGGGTGTTCCCCGGGCTCCCTCCTCGGCCCCGGGTCAGCCCCCGGTGGGGAGAGGATCCTCGGGGACCCATTTTGTGCTCGGGGAGGCTGGGGCGGTTGAATGGCCAGCGCCGGTTGAAGCGAAGCCGGCAAATCTGGCGGAAGGCCGGGCCGGGCTGGGCGGAGGCAGAGCCAGAGGCGGGCTCGGGGGCGATCATCTTGGCGCGGCTGGGCGTAGGGTTCCCTCCTCCCCGGCCCGCGTTGCTGGGGAGGGACCTGCGAGTCCCCGCGGAGGAGGCTTTTGTGAATCCGTTCCCCGCTACCGGCTCCATGTTTTTTGCCTCCAAGATGGCGCACTGCCGCTGATTTTTTTAACCCCTCCTTTCCTCCTTCTCTCTCTCTCCTCTCCCGAGATATTAATCACCCCTCTTCTTCCTGCACTGCAGTCTTTCTCCTTGTCTTTTTCGCCTCCCTCCCCTCTGCCTTTTCCATGGTGAAAACCCATCAAAGTGGAGTTTCTTTAAATGGAGGGGGGAGGAAAGCCCCGTCAGAAGGGTGTGCAGGCACATAAAGACTGAAATCTCTCCTGGTATTACATAAGTCTCCACAGAACCCCACATCTTTGCCCCAGTGGGCCGGAATTGTGCATTGGGGTGGTGGTTGGCAGGTTCGCTCTGTTCCCCTCCCCACCAAAATGCCTTTTTGGTCAGTCTTTGTAGGTATGCTTCATGTTGAAAACCACTCCTCCTTCCATATTGTTAGAACCATTATTGGACATGGTACTGAAAGCTTACTAACAGTGTTAAGGGCTTGGATTTGCCTTGTCCCATCCCTGTTAGGCATGGGTTAAAAAAGCAGTGTCCTTGCTAGATGCAGATACCATCTCTTTCGGTGCTCTGGTGTTGACTCTTGGCTTGTGCTTGGGAACGGCCGGGGCCTGTTATGACTCTGCAATTCCACTGAAAGGAGACGCCTCTTCCATCATATTATGTTGGAGAATACACCACCACCCCTTTGGCTGCCTCTTCCCACTGCCAGTCCCTCTGTTGTGTGAACATATTGCTGCCCACAAAACAGGATTGATATAGCCATTCAATTTCATACTCTACAGGGTTTCATATCTTTCATACTCAGCACATGGTCTGCACTGTATCTAGTGCTTAGGATTCTGTAAATACTGCACAGTGTAAAGCAGGCATGGGCAAACTTGGGCCCTCCAGATATTTTGCAGTCTGTCTAGTGCAGGGGACCACAAACTTTTTAAACAGAGAGTCAGGTTACAGTCCCTCAAACTGTTGGAGGGCCAGATTATAATTTGAAAAAAAAAGAATGAATTCCTATGCACACTGCACATATCTTATTTGTAGTGCAAAAAACACTTAAAAATACAATAATTAAAATGAAGAACAATTTTAACAAATATAAACTTATTAGTATTTCAATGGGAAGTGGGCCTGCTTTTGGCTGATGAGATAGGATTGTTGTTGTTGTTGTTGTTGTGTGCTTTCAAGTCGTTTCAGACTTAGGTTGACCCTGAGCGAGGGCTGGTAAATGACCTTGGAGGGCCGCATCCGGCCCCCGGGCCTTAGTTTGAGGACCCCTGGTCTAGTGCTTAGGATTCTGTAAATACTTCACATGCCTGTAGAAAAGCAGGCATGGGCAAACTTGGGCTCTCCAGATATTTTGAATTTCAACTCACAGATTTCCCATTAGGAATGGTGGGAGTTGAAGTCCAAATCACATGGAGGGCCCAAGTTTGCCCATGCTTGGTGTAAAGTGTACATTTTTCTGCTTGAATTTTCTGCCTTGGAGCAGCAGGTGTAGGCTGGAGCAGGGGTTGGAAACTAACAGAACCAAGAGCCAAGTTTTTTTTTTTGGGGGGGGGGGGGGCTTGGACTCTCCACAGCTCACATGGATTACCAAAAATGCCCCAAAAATGGAAAGTCCACTTCTGATTTTGAGAAGTGAGGAGTTAAACATGTATGTGGAGAAGGAGATTGCTGTTTTTAGGGACAAGCATTTCATCCTTTTTTGCTAAAAAAAAGCATTATTTTCCAGGGAGAAATAAATCCCACTTCTACTTTTTGAGAGAAAGTGAAATGAACACCACTAAGTACAAATGGCACCCTTGATGCCAGCCTTATAATAATAATAAATAATAATAAAACTTCATTTGTATACCACTCTATCTCCCCCAAGCAACTCAGGGCGGTTTCCAATATGTAAGGCAAGCATTCCATTGCTGGACAAAAACCATACAGACAATTACATCAAGATAAACACATTCAACAGTATAACGCAAACTAATTAAACTTAATAAACAAAAGAAACAGCAACTAACAAAAATAATAAAATACAAAAAATCTATTAAAACACAGCAGGGATAAAAATATTGGAAACATGTTTAATTGTAGCTGCTTGAATAGAGATTCATTCAGACCAATGGCCAGGGTCACAAATGGAAATAGCCAGCTGTAAAAGTTCTGGGCATGGGATAGTGCAAATAGCAAATCATACGGCTGGGGGAGAGGATGAAGTGCTAGACAGAGTGCTACCTGGGAACTGGGACTAGTCATTCTCGAAAACTGGGCCTGGGACTAGTCATTCTTTGAACATCCAAGTTTTCAAATCCCTGCGAAAGGAGGACAGTGTGGTGGTCTGCCTAATCTCCTTGAGGAGGGAGTTCCAAAGTCGGGGGGCCACCACCAAGAAAGCCCTCTCCCTTGTCCCTACCAATCAAGCTTGTGACAGTGGTGGAAGCGAGAGGAGGGCTTCCCCGGCAAATCTTAGCGCCCTGTGAACATTTTGTGCCCATGCTGCATTTAAAACACACACCTTCATGCCTTCTCTGTTAGAACAGTAGCTACTTGACACCTAATTGAATTGATTCTATGGACAGCATGATGTCTTAATATAACTTAACTTAATCTCTTTCTTGAATGTATGATCAGTTTTAAAGTTAGTGCCTGCACTTCTGAACTTTATAGAAACCTAATGTGAAGTTGTATTTGGGTATTATTCATCACTTTGGTTCTTTTTATTAGATTGCAGTCCCCTTTTGTGCATTATTAGGGTCATTGTATCTAGATTCTTCAGCTAAAACTCTCTGGACTTCTCTTTTTGACAGCCTCTAGAAATAGATATGATTGTAGGAAAAGACCGCGAGGGTTTCTTCACCAATGGTCTAACTCTTGGTGCAAAGAAGTGCTCTGTGATCAGAGATAGCCTCTATGTGGATGGTGACTGTACAATGGACATCAGGACAAAGAGCCAAGGAGGCGAGCCAACATATAATGTTGCTGTAGGCAGAGCTGGTCGAGGTAAGCTGGAACTTCTGCAAGTACTTCATCTTTTTAAAAAGTACAAAATGCACAGGCTTTAAATGACCTCCGTGAAATCTTAATAAGAACTGTTTGTCTACAAAATGATCTTGACTGTTTACTTTATGGAGAGGGCCACCACAGTCTTGAGATACAACATCCAGGATATTTGGCATCTGAAATTAATTTTGTTTCATATAAAACATACATGCTAGCTCTTTTAAGTTTGAAGCATAGCTACTATAAAGCAAAGGTATGTGGCTTTTAGCGTATGCTGAGTGAAATATCTGTTTGCTTAGCTAAATAGTTTATAGGTAATTTCTGCTTAAATATGAGATTTTTCCAGTGCTGCTTAGATCAATTCCTGGACCTCAATTATGTGGGGGTTTTTAGCTTCAGGGTTCTAATCTATACAGCATTTCATATTATTTTGCATATCAAACATCAGTTAGGAATACACATTATTCTGTAGAAAGGAATGTTTTCTTAACAGGGTCATCCTATACTTTTGGAATATCCATTTGTTTCTAAGTTGTGCTTAGGCTTTCAAACTTAATAATGCATTGGAAAATGCTTTACATTTTGAAAAGAAAAGTAACACATTTCATGGTTTATTACTCAGATGAAAAGTGTGTCTTTTAGCCTCAGCTGAGTAATTACAAGCAGCTCTAAGGCAAATATTTGAAAAGTTTAATTGATAGATAAAAGGAGTGCATCTACAAATCAATGCTAAATACATATTGAGAAAATAAGCTTGCCTTAGTGACACCTGCTGGCAGATGAACTTATTGACTGAGTTCTTCAGGACTGCTGTTCTAGCATAAATACATGTGGTTTTATTTTTTTTACTGTGAACAATGACAGACTGAGAAGCCACTGGAACATTCATTCTAGATATTCTAGCTGCAAATTCTGTGTTGTAACACAAACTGCCGTTTGGGCTTTATTTGCCTTGCAATAAGAAATAGCTTCATTTTTATTTTTGTAATTGTTATTTTAAACAAGCATATTTATCTGCCAAACATTTTTCTCAGTAAATATTTCTATATTTAAAATGATGTTAAAAGCAAAGCAGTAACGCTATACAAATAACTATTCAAATTTGCAGTATTTGAATGTGCTTAGCGCACTGCTTGATTAAAATTTGGAATAGATCCATGTCTAACACACTCCTTTGTAAAACTTCTTTTCTTTTCTCTTTCAGTCTTGGTCTTTGTAATGGGCAAAGAAGGGGTCCATGGAGGCGGATTGAATAAGAAGGCATACTCAATGGCAAAATACTTGAGAGACTCTGGGTTCTAGTTGCTAGGCAGACTGTTAAGTATTAGGGAAAATTGCTATTAAACTTTCCTGGCAGAGAGCTACTTTGTGGAAACTTTATTAGCAATGCAGGGTGATGGGGTATGAACCTGTGTCTCCTTTGTATCCCTCTGTTGGTGGGGAAAGGTGTTATTCTTTCTTTTATTCTGTTCATCCTTGTTTCCTTGTGTACTCCAGCATTGGTTATGGTCATGGGAAAGGGAAGGTGCCCGTGGAGGGACACTCAACAAGAAAGCTAATGAACTGGCTTTATACCTGAGGAGGTCTGACATCCAAGCAGCCTCTCCCCATCCACATAGCAAATGTCTTCATTGCCACCCTCTTGTGTTCACAGTACTATCACCCTATAGATGGCGATTTATTTACACATCTTTTCCCTACTGTCATGACGCCAGTTACCCTTTTTGTTTGTATGTTAATCACTGTTGTATCCATATTCTGTATCTGGCACCATCCTTTGCAACACAAAGATGATATGCATGATATGTTGAAGCCTTGGGGGAGAATCATGCCAAGTCTGGACTTTGCTTTGTCTTAGCAATTAATGTGACATTGAGAACTAAACCAATTTAAATTAAACTAAACAAGGTGCCGATTGTACAATCCAGTTTGATCAATGTCTCCTCAGCACTTTGAGCATTAACACAGCTCATTAGTCTTCCTTTTGTAGAGCATGGTTGGGAGGGAAATGTGCATGCATATCTACTTTCCTCCCCCTTGTCCTCATTTCATCCATTCTCTCTCTTCACTCACACACATTTTTTTGCTTCCATCTTCTATCTATATATACATTTTTAAATACAGTGCCTGGTTTGTTTAACCAATTTGCCGCTTGAAAGCTGTTAAAAGTGTTGCTCTAGTTTTGTTGTTGCTCTTCTGTGTAGACTTGCAAAACTCTTCATGGTGTCTGAAGCACATCCTGCTTTTAAAAGGGTAACTGCAAAACTATAAAAAGGTGCCGATGCACTTCTCCCCTCACCTTACCATCACCACCATCATCTTGAATGACTCCCTAGGGACATTCCATCACCGCAATAGCTCAGGCACATTACTTTTTTGCCAGCTCCTGTTCTGTAGTTGTAAAAAGGCTGCCACCATGGACTTTAGATAACCCAGTGTAACCATCTGGAGTGTGTCCGGTTTAATTTTTTTTTCATAGGACCAATTTTGATTTGCAGCTTGGGTTTTACATGTAACTGCAGCGTCACTGTTAACAAACTACCACCTTCAGTTATACAGGTAGCCTAGACTGATGTTAGTGTATTCGATCATTAACTGGGAAATACAACAAGCTGCTGTGGTATCAATGTATATTTTGGAGGCTGGTAGTTATAAGATAAAACAGTCCAAATAAATACCATTTCAGATTTAATCTTCATGCCGTTGCTGCAGAAATTGTGGAGTAAACTGCCTTGTGCACTAGTCATTTGAAACACATGTAACCAAACTGTCAGTTTGAACACGGTACTAACTTGTATGTCCATTTTAAAAGAGAACTGCAGAACTCTGTATACAAAACAAAATGGGAGATGGTCTTGGTTGGAATAACTGAGTTGGCTGTCTTGTGATAAATTTTTAATGTGTATTCTGTGCCATACTAATGTTTAAAAAATGGAACTGTTGCTATTGTGAGATGGATTTTAACTGACAAGAACGACTTCTTCTGAATGGCACTACTTTAGGGACACTAGTATTTGCTTCTATTGTTCGGGCCTTGTGGATAATGTACAGACTTAAAACAAATTCTTGTTGCTGATTTGTCCATTTATTTCCCTGCACTTTGTTACATCCGGGATACAGTCTAACTCATCTGATTCAATATGCATTTCAAAAAATGCCATAACTATTAAACACCTTGTTTACAGACAGATGAAATAAATTTATTCCAACCAAATGAAATATGACTTACTGTGTTATGTGATTCTCATTGCCTTCCCTCCCTTTCTTCTTCCTCTCTCTGTGAAGATGTCTTACATTATAGTATCTTGTTGTGACTTGAATATGAAAGTGATTGATATAATAACTTTCCTTTACTTAGGCCATAGCTTACAAAAGTTCATTGATTTAGCAAAGGTACTATTGAAAAATAAAATAAAATCCCCATGTCTTAGCCAGTAGTATTTCTTGAAACAGAACTGCCTAGAAAATGCCAATTCTTTTTTGTATACAGCCAGTCCCTGACTTACATATGACTCAGATTGGGGGTGAGACAACAGAAGTGAGAGAAATCTATCCCATGAAAGGGAAATTCACTCCTGAAATAATTATCATTGGAAAAGTTGTCTCCACTGAAGCACCCCAGTTTTGCAATGGGTTAAACGCTTGCGCTGGTAGGACTGATGACCGACAGGTCAAAGGTTCAAATCCAGGGAGCTCCCTCTGTCAGCGCCAGCTTCCCATGCAGGGACATGAAAGAAGCCTCCCACAGGATGGCAAAACATCAAACATCCAGAACAACATGGAACCTATCTTGTTCGTAACTTGGGGACTGCCTGTATAAGGATAAAATTATGGATTTCGTGGTCTTATTAGCTCATAACTATTCAAAATATCTTTTAACTTGCTTTCCTCTTCAGCACAAGGTAGTTGTGAATTCTGCATTTGAAGATCCTTCTTTTTGTTGGCCGAGAGCCAGTAGATATTTGAAAGAGAAATAGAGAATGGTACATGAATTTGTTACAGTGCAATTCTGCATTAATGCAATGCAACACTCAGGAAATTGTAGATGTGGCTATATCCCAGGACAGAGAAGCACCTGGAGACAATTTATTATAAGCAAGTCTTAAATTATAAGACCTAGTATCATTGCCCTCTTCTCATCCCACTATCTTACATAATTGCTGATAGTTGTGTTCTTTCTATGGTTATTCAATCAGCAAAACATGCCTATGGTTTGAACCTGCTTTATGACACATGCAAAAGCTGGTTTGAAAAAAGTGCTGCAGCGCCATTTTTCTTGAAATACTAGTCCATATGAATTAATATTCCATCTTGTGGGGGGTGTGAAGATTTTATTTTGTTGACACTTTATGGTTGGATTTTGCATGCAAATATTATTGTGATTTTTTTTTTAAAAAAAAAACCTAACCTTTTATTTTGGTGCACACATGGATTTTAGCAGGTATTATTTAAATACCCTCCAGAGTGAAAAGTGACAGTTGGCAGCAGACAGATTTCCCAAAACAATGCTTACCTCGTGTTTAGTTGCAGTTGGGTTTATGTGCCTTTTTAATTAGGGCACCTTTTCAGTTAAGCAGACTTGGGGAGGTCCAGTTAGGCAGAACTACCAGTTCCTAAGTTTTGCTGGGTTTATAATGGCCAGGGTAAGCTCTTAACTGCATATAGAACAACCATATCATCAACCTTTCCACTGCTAATTTGAAAGCTCTCCAGTTAGCTATGTCTTCATCACAAATGAGTTGTTGCTATTTTTGGTTCAGACAGATCTGCCTGTTTTGGTTTGTTTTTTTGTTTTTTTTAGCAGATGATAATTTAAATATATTAATATTTTTCCCGCTATATATACTATTGTGAAACTGTAATAGCATCTTGTAAACAGAAAAAAAACATTGACACGAATTCGTTTTTGTTTTTTCCTTCAATAATCAAAAATAAGATATAAAGCTTACTTTAAAGATTGGTATTAGAAGGAACATATCTTTAAATCTTAGAATTTAAATCCTTGTTCGGTTGTTTTTATTGTATTTTAAAGTTGGTTGCATTGTTTTAATCTACTGCTGTAAACCGCTCCGAGCCAAATTGGAAGTGGTGGTATACAAGTCTAAATAAATAAATAAATTATTGATCCATGTACCCATTAAGTATATGCAGCTGATAGGTCATATATGGGGACCCAATTTCTTGTGGACTCCCATTTGGCCTGCTAGCATCCCCCCCACCCCACCAGAAAGAATAGATCTCTTTCCTCCCAGCAGTGCTGAGGCTCCTAAAAGGTTTTACTTGACACCAGTGGACAGTGAGTGTATTTATAAGTCTGAATGAATAGTATCTGTCCAGAGATGAGACTGCATACCTGCTATCAGCTTGGCCCTGTGACTAAATTAGGTTCCCCATCCATATGTGCCATAGATCCTTCCCAGAGTCCATTATGATAATAGCCTCAAGGTGTTCATTCTTCATAGTGAACAGTAATGGCTGCTGTCTCTTGATATAACCCTGTCTACATTTTTGATAGCTTAAAAAAAGAGTGTAGTTGACCAACCATAAGAAGGCAAAGTCCTTCTTGGCTTTTAGCAAACACACATGAGCTAAACAACTTGATGTTTAGAGGTTTTGGAAACAAAATACAAAATAGTAAACTTTCACTAATGTGTTGAAGGAATTGGGAAAACAGGATATGGTCAAAACAGAGGCTCAACTTTATAAAATCAGTGGGCTCTGTAGGATCGCTCAAGGTGGAATGCTCTAAATCAGTGATTCCCAGACTGGAACTCCAGATGTTTTGAACTTCAGGTTCCGGAATCTCTTACCATTGGCCATAGTGGTTGAGGTTGCTGGCAGCTGAATTTCAACAAACCTGGATGACCAAAGTTTGGGAATCATTTCTCTCAATGGAGACACTAGGCTAAGATCTATCCACATCTTGAATTGACATTTTCCATGGTGATGGTGTCAGAGAAGCTCCATAAGGGAAGCAGCAGGATGTGACATTCGTGGAGGATCTCTTGGAGATTATGGCAGTAGAAGTTCAGCTACCTCTTGTCAGTAATCTGCAGAAAGCTGCACTTGTGAAGCTGAATACCTCTAAATGTATTTTACTTTGACAATCCAAAGTGAAACATGAGATAATGCAAAATGATGAGATTCTCCAGGTCAGAAAGTACAAACAGCTACTGAGGAAAAGCAAAATGTTTTGTGTGCTGTGATGCAACAGGACTCAGAACAAATGGGTGTCCATATGATGTTATGTTCAAATGTGAAAGGAATATCTAATGCTGCTCAACGCGTATGAAATGTGAATTGGGATAAGCTCAAAATTGTAAAATCAAAAATGGAATGTGTAAACATTGTAATGCTTATTAAGATGAGGGTAGTAGAAAGTCCACATGTCAGTTGTAAGGGACCAAGGAAATCACAGTTTGCAAGAGTTGAGCATGGCTGTTAATAGCACAGGACACTTTTAGATCTTTTATAGGGCTCCCATAAATTGAAACCTACTGTACAACGTGTAACATCAACACAGGATTTTATTGTGTGCTTCAGTATTTAATGAAAGCAGAATCAGGGCTTTCTCCTTCCTCTCCTGGTGCACCCTTCTGTGATGTGGAAACCTGCTCATACACAAAGTGCTGCAAGAGGGAGGAGAGCTAATGGATTATGGCAAAATTCAACAAAACTTCACAGTTGGGTCAAAGTCTATGAATTGGTACCATGAGAGCACCTTCCATCACAAGAGCTGTAAAACATTAGGTGGGGGAGATAAAGCTTGTTTGCCGTTACCCATGCTGCTCTTTGAAGCCATTATACTAACATTATCATTCCTTAAAGTTTTCAGGTGTAATCTTTAATTACTGTTTTTCTGTTATTCACATAATAATAATCAAGTAGTCAACTATTGAAAAGTACAAGAAATCAAGTACTTGTGATCCATTCATTTTCCTGCAGGGAATGGGGGACCTTTAAAAGATCTCCTCCTTTGCAGGTAAACAGGCACTTCTGGCTTCAGTTTTTACCATGCTGGTATTACAGGTTTCCGCTCTGTGGTATTTTTTGCATCCTGTAGATTAGTGGTGCATAATCTTTGGTCCTCTGGGTGTTTGGGACTCTAGCTCCCAAATGCTCTAGCCAGCTTGTCCAATGTTCAGGAATTCTGGGCATTTAAATCCAAAACATCTGGAGGGTCGCAAATTGTGCACCCCTGCTGTAGATCCTACAGGATGTGTTGACCAAGGGTGCCTCATATGCATGCTTTTATTGCCCTTCCCTCTCAGTGTAAAACGATACCCTTTCACTTATCTTGTTCCTCATATCCCTTGTCTGAAAGCTGTCCCCGTCAAATGATTTGATTCCTGTTTGAGGTACGAGTATCTATAATGCTGTACCAAACTCCCTTGTACAATTTGCTGTCATCCCCCATCTCTTTATTTTAGAACAGGGGTTCTCAAACTTTTTAAACAGAGAGCCAGGTCAAAGTCCCTCAAACTGTTGGAGGGCCAAATTATTATTATTTTTAAAATGAATTAATTCTTATGCACACTGTACATAAATTATTTGTAGTGAAAAAAAAAACACTTAAAAACAATACAAGAATTAAAATGCAGAACAATTTTAACAAATATAAACTTATTAGTATTTCAATGGAAAGTGTGGGTCAGCTTTTGGCTGATGAGATAGGATTGTTGCTGTTGATGTGTGCTTTCAAGTTGTTTCAGACTTAGGTTGACCCAGAGCGAGGGCCGGGTAAACGACCTTGGAGGGCCGTATTTGGCCCCCAGGCCTTAGTTTGAGGACCCGTTTTAGAACATAGATGAGATATTGTGACCCTCCAAGTGTTGTCAGCCCACACTACTCACTATGTTGGCTAAGGTAGGTAGGAGTTACACTCCAAAAGTAACTGGAGGGCCATGATTGCCTTTAGGTGGCCTGCTGACTTAATAGTGACCCCAGGCATTTCATAAGTTTTTCTAAGGCAAAAAAAAAAACCAAAACTGGTGAATTAACACTTTTCCCTCTGAAATATAGTCTACAGCACCTGGCTTGCTGCTGTTGTGTGCCTTCAAGTTACTTCTGATTTATGGCAACCTTTCACAGGATTTTTTTTAGTCCGGTTTAAATGTAAACTGTATTAACACAAGGTAGTTTTAGGTAAGACACCATGTCTTACCTCAATATTTGAGGATGCCTGCCATAGATGTGGGTGAAATGTCAGGACGGAATGCTTCTGGAACATGGCCAAACAGCCCAGAAAACTCACAGTAACCCTATGGAATTATTGCTGTGCTGACATTTAGGTAGGCATTCTCTTAAAAAAGAATTAAAAGTTTCAGGGTTGGGTGTCACCAGTATGCTAATAACACTCAACCCACCTAATCCTGAGGATGCTGCTGAGGTGTTAAACCAGTACCTGCTATGGGTAATGGATTGGATCAGGGCAAATTGAAGTTTATTCCAGACAAGGCTGAGGCGCCAGGTCACTCAAAAAGGAGAACAGGAAATAGAGGCACACCCTGCAATGGGTGGTGTTCTACTCTTCCTGAAACCTCAGATTTGTACCTTGAGTTCAGCCCTTAGCTTGGAGGATTAGGTCTCAGCAGTGGCCATGAGTGCATTTGCAGATTCCAATGTGACCATGATAACACTTCTCATTTAAATTACTATATTAGAGACTATGAAAATGCAGTAAATCTTAAATTCTTTTGATGACAAGGCTAGTTAAAGGAACATAATGAGCTTCCTGCTGGTACTTCAATGGCTAATAGTTTGTTTCAGGGAGTAATTTGAAGTGTTGGTTATGATGTACAAACTTTTATATGGCTTAGGTCCAGTCTATCAGAAAGACAGCATATTTTGATAAAGAATCTTAAGTTTTGAGATCCTCTTGACAGAGTTTTCTCAGTTCCACAACCATGAAATATACAGTTGATGACAGGGGAGAAGGTCTTCTTAGTAGATGCCCTAGGCTGTGAACTTCACTCCCACAGTAGGCTAAGTTGCCCCTCTCTTGGTTTTGTTTCCCATTGGCAAGAGAAGACCTCCTTGTTTACACAAGCTCTTGGGTTTGTAGCATGGCTGTTACAGAAGGTCTTTAACTGGGATATACAGTACTATATTTGTATAATAATTATTGTTTTATTGGTAGAAAGGTGAGATACAAATAAGTTGTTTTTGGAACATTTTTCATTTCTGGTTTTTAAAAATACTTTCATTTATTTATTATTTACTAATACCTGAATGCCATTTCACATAACATAAACATTCAAAGCAAATTGAACAGCTGTCCAATATATACATTTCCTCAATTTAATATACTGCTGATTATTACTGATTTATTTAGGAGGTAAATCTGTTGGCCTAGTGAAAACCTGCCTACCAGTATCTATCTATGTAGACAAGCTGTTCTGTAAAGGGTTTGGGAAGATCCAGGCATCATAGAGGGAAAAATGGATCATATCTGTATCAGTATTTGCCTGTTCTTCATATAGATATATTTGTCTTCACAAAGTAAACTGCTAAATTGTCCTCTATGAAATTATTTAACAGCTGTTGCTTTAGAATTTTCATAAACTGACATATATAACATTTGCAAGGGAAGAAAGAACACAGCTGGAAAGTTAAAGATGTGTAAGGCTGTTTTGTTCCTTTTTCATAGATTTCCTTGAAATACTGCTGAAGGACTGAGGCCATGGAGAGTCTATACAACTTTTTTAGTAGAAAATCCCAATATCTCCTAGCTATGTCACTGTGAACTGAAGTTCAAAAAAGCAGCTTATATACTCATGTATAAGCCTAGAAGTTTTAGTTAAAAATCAATCGCAAAAACCTGAGTCGACTTATCTTTGAATCAATGTGAGTACTGTACCGTAACTTTTTTTTTTAAAGGAACCATTCCCATTCAGTAGAATGGCTTATTTTGTCTCAGAAGAAACTAAAAGAAGTGCCAACACTTACTTCTCTCTGCTGTTGAACTGCTTCTCCTTTTTCTGAATGCTTAGGTGGTGAAATGACAGTGGTAGCAGCCAAGGTTAGTTGGCCCCAAGGAGGCATTGGTGCTCTCTATTCTCCACAGATGGTTGTGATGATGTTTATTTATATCCCGCTTTTTCTCTCCATATGGAGACTCAAAGCGGTTCACAAGTAAAGCATTGAAATACAACTTAAAATATGAAAATATACAAATATTAACACAGCATCGACCACCATTAAAGGCATATAAAATTACAGCAGCCCCTGATGATCTTAACTTTCTTTTTTAAAAGCCTGCCTGAATAAAAAGGTTTTAACCTGCCACCTGAAGGACAGCCAGAGGGAGGGGCATTCTGGTTTCCCAGGGCAGGGAGTTCAAGTCGAGGGACAGTCACCAAGAAGGCCCTCTCTCGTTCCCAGCAACCAAGTTTGAGATGGAGGTGGGACCGAGAGAAGGACCTCTCCTGAAGATCTCAGGGCCCAGGCAGGTTCATACAAGGGGATGCAGTTGGCCAAATAGCCTGGAACTGAGCCGCTAGGGCTTTAAAGGTCATAACCAGCACTTTGAATTGTGCCCAGTAACAGACTGGCAGCCAGTGGAGCTGCTGCAGTGGCTTGTCTGCTCCCCGTAGCTAGCCCATTAGCAACCTGACTTCAGCTTTTTGAACCAGCTGAAGTTTCTGAGCACTTCAGAGGCAGCCCAATGTAGAATGTGTTACAGTAATCCAGGGGGGATGTAACTAAGGCATGTACCACCATGGCCAGATTTGGCTTTTCTAGGAATGGGCACAGTTGGCACACAAGTTGTATGTTTTTGCAAAGTTTTTCCATGCGTCACATCAAAATCCATACTGTTGTCCCCCAAACCTTTCCTTGGCTTATACATGAGATCAACATAAATGTGCAAATATAGTAAGTAGTTTTTTCATATGTGGTAATAAATAAGCTATTAAAGTGGAAAACATGTTTTATTAACATTCTTTCAAACTTTCCTGTACAAGGCCATATAAAAACATCTTTGCAATTGGATTATATAGATGTGTGGCTACTTTCTACATAGTTACAACCGTATATAATTTAGCTTGTTCATGATACACTGTATGTAGACTCCTGTTAGTTATTTATATGCTTTCATTTTCATATCCAATACTTAGTTTAATTTTTCTATGTGCATAGTTTTAGCAGATTAATGCATCTTCAAATGCTCTGTAATATAGAGGTATTATCTTCTTTGTGAATCAACAGCACACAAGTTCAGTGTTTCTATATGTGGTGTAATTTGATGATGCCCTTCTGCATTGGTCCCCATCCTTTCCAGAAGTAAGGTGAATAGCTATTAGGAAAGTGTTCCAATGAATACATTGGTATCCTGATTATTTTCCTCACAAGGTGTTTCAGCCTAAGTGGTGACAGAACTTCATCTACCCATTCCTTCAAGCGCAATACATAATGAGGGAAAAAGCAGCCAGATTGCTTCATGACCGAGATCAAAGCTCGTCTTCGCTTCTTCTGCTGGAGATGCTCTTGACAAAAACATTAAACAGGCCTATCTTATTCTTTCAATGGTGTCAGTAGTTCAAACAAGAACCGTCATAAATACACACCTAGACTTTTTGATTGGGTTTGTACCTTAGTACTTACCATATGTATAAATAACTTTGTCAATATAATCTCTGCCTACCTACACACTGTAAGCAGGAACAAATATTTTTTCTAGATTTCATGTTTACAAAATGCTGAAGGAGCATCTCTCTTTCTGGGTACATTGTCTTTAGTGATGGATGCCCCTTGTTACGTATTAGTATTGTGGAATCCAGTTAAAATGTTGTCTGCAAAAGACAAAGAGAATGAACAACAACAATGGAAACCTGCAATGAGATTAAACTATACAGAACACTATATGAGCAGCTGCTTCTACTGAAGCAACAGGAGAATCACATCACACTTCCCCTTATGTACACGTACATAAAAGTAGAGCTTTCTGGCCAGAGGAGTTCATGTAACGACTCATTTCAAAGTTCAAACTGTATTTGCCGCTCTGTAATCCTGTTCATCATTGGGCTGTAACTGGACTACTACACTCTCTTCAGTCATTCCATTTTCTGTATCGCTGCTGTCAATGTCTTCGTTGTCATCGTCATCATCGTCTTCTTCATAATCTGAAGACTCTGTCATATTTGGATGAGAATACGACTCTGACAGTGCCCCAAACGACTGGGTGCTCGCAGATGCGAGTGGCCTAAGCAAAGGGGTGTTCTCAGAGACTTCATTTTCTTCCTGGCTACTGTCTGTTTCAGAATCTGAATCGCCCTGTGAAGGTACTACTTTCTGTTTACAGACAGGACATGTTTTCTTGGTTTTAGTCAGCCAGGGATCCACACATTTGCAGTGATAAGCTGTTCAAAAAAAGGAAAGAAGCATTTCAATGCAATTAAACGGAGGATGCAATTCACAGAAAGGTCTTGGGAGGAGTATTAATGTATATGTTTAAAGATGGCATGCGACACTTGAAAATAAATCCTATCAATTCTTTTTCAGCAAATTGTTTCAAATCATAAATATAGTATTAGATTTTGAATGACTATAGCTCTTAAGTGTTATTCTCAAAAGGAGAATAACAGCCATTAAAATGCTAACTCATGCATCATTTGAGAAGTGTCAAATGTTGAAGTAGTGAAAGGCTTTGGATTTCTTTGAAATATTTACTTGGACAACAGGATATAACATTATTAAAAGTTCCTAAAATCATTTTTTTGTTCTGTACAAAAAGTAAGGAAGTCCACGTCTCCACTTGCAGGCTTAATCAAATGTACCGGTATGTACAATATTAATGGATCTCTTATGTGGCAGGGTAAACTAAATAAAACAAAGATATTCTGCATGTATGGGTGATACATTGCCTGACTTTCAAGTAGCTAAATCATTCATAGTGAGCAAGTCCTTTACAAGCAATACCTGTTTGTAGTTGCAATGTAAGCATTGAAATAATGTGGACTTGAGCTTATTTGGAAACTCAAAGCAAGTATAAGCTACAACTCTTCATTTTACCATTTCCACATACAGGAAGAAAATAATACCATATACTTGGAAGTGCACCCACTATACCACAGATAAACATCTCTGTACAGAAAAGCCTAGCATGTTGGAAGCATAACTGAGATTGCCTTGCTCATCACATCAAAGACTAGTCCAGTCATTCTGCGACCCAGTCCTTTTACAGCAAGAGTGGGGAACATATAACCCTTCAGATAATGAAGTGTGGATCCCAACAGTCCTAGTAAGCTAAGCCAATTGTAAAGCAACATCACCTGAAATGCTGCAGGTCATCCACTCTTGCTCTGTGCATACCGTAAGCAAGCACAGCACAGGAAGGTCATGGTGGTTGTCTTTGATACCTGGAGGCAAGATGCACACTGCTTCCATTGATAAAAGTTTTATTTCGCTATTGGTAATAGCCACTGCTATCCCTATGTTCCACAGACAAGTGGTTTTACACAGGAAAGGTGTCAGCATATACATGGTCTGACTTTGCATTCAGCAATCCCACATTGGTTGCCTGAGTATATAATCTAGAAGACCCCATGGTACATTTGTTTACTTCATCTGTTGAACCAATAACAGAAAATAAATTTAGTAATGAGGAGTTTTACAAATACCTCTTTACAGATGAATTTTGGCTTTAAAGTCCAACAAAGGTACTTACCATGAGAACAAGGAAGGATTCTGAGCTTGTCTCCATCTTCATATTCATCCAGACAAATGGCACAAACATCATACTCATCTCCTATAAGATAATTTTTGGGGGGAAAATAGTTAATTTGCAAAAGTTGAAAGTTTTATAAGGTTTTTTTTAAGGCCCTCAGACTATTTTGGAATCTAAGGCAATTAATATAATGTACTCTCTCTTAAGGAGCCCCCAGTGGCAGAGTGGGTTAAAGCGCTGAGCTGCTGAGCTTGTTGACCGAAAGGTCGCAGATTTGACTCCGGGGAGCGGCATGAGCTTCCACTGTCAGCCCCAGCCTCTGCCAACCTAGCAGTTCGAAAACATGCAAAATGTGAGTAGATCAATAGGTACCGCTCTGACGGTAAGGTAACAATGCTCCGACGGGAAGGTAACAACGCTTCATGCAGTCATGCCGACCACATGACCTTGAAGCTCTTCGGCTTAGAAATGGAGATGAGCACCATACCCCAGAGTCAGACATGACGACTTAATGTCAGGAGAAAACCTTTACCTTTACCTTTTTTTACTCTCTTTTGCTGTTTCTTCTCATTTGTTCCTTACATTAAAATGAATATTGCATATAGCTGCTGAGCAGGATAGAGAACAGACAGCCTTCCAGATCTTGTAGACTGCAACTCTCAGCACCATTCATCATGAATTTTGCGGGTTCGAGGTGATGGGAGTTGCAGTTTGAAAAACATCTGGAAGGCTATGTGCACCTCACCTTGACTATTAAGGAAAATTGTAATGAAGGTAACAGAGAAGCCAATATAGATACTAATTTTACAATGGCAAGAATTTCTTGACAACATGGCATAAGCTTTAGATCAAGCTTTACATTCAACTGGACTGGGAAAGCAGAACTGCCTGCTATTCCTCCACTACCAATACCTCAATCCCCAGGAATTAAGCTGCAGTGAGGAGGCAGAGCATGAGATCAAGATCTTTAGAAACTGCATGGAGGCATCTGTGAACAGGACCTTTCTATCCATGGAAGGCAGACTACATTTTATATTAATAGACAATAGATTGCATCCAGAGATACTGAGTGCTAGGTTATAAAAACCGAAGCCAATTTATGTATGTATTTAGACACTTTTAAATACTAATTTTATAAAAGAGTTTCCTGTAAGTATGATAATCTGGATCCAGTCTCGAATACATTACACATGGAACACATCTTTAAAATTCCCCTTCCTTAATACTCTTCGCCACCAACTGGTTGAGAGCCAGCAACATGAAACCCTAACCCTTGCAATAATCAACGCCAATAGATTAGAACTGCAATCTTTAATTGTGAGTAGACAAGTGTACCATTACACAGATGCCTTGGTGTGTGTTCCTATCATGCATACAGTGAAAAACAAAAATATGCAGGGAGGACTAAATCCAGTTGCTATCCACAGCTATAGCAGACGTTAAACCAGTTGTTGAATAATAAATCAACATTTATGCATCTCACTGATTCAGAGATGCATAAATGCTACTCTAGTGTGTCCTTAAGTATATGCATTAGAAGTAAAATGTATAAAACAGTCTGCGACTTAGTAATATTTCCAATAAATAAGATAAATCAGTTTCTAGTTTAATTGTCTTTCTTAAGACTGAGAATTTTTGCCTAACTTCTATTATTTGTTAAAATACATCTCTTCTCTGCCTGTTTTGATGAGCATCCCACATGCTGTTCCCCCCACCCCAACGTCTGGCGAATAGCATCCAATACTGTAAGACTAAACAGACAAGCCTGTAAAGGAGATTGTAGAAATTAATACGTGGAGTTAATTACTGTAATTAAATTGTTACATTGTTATACTATTCCTTTGGTTATCAAGCAGGGTTACTCTGGCTTGGCTGTAACCCATATGGGCAAGGATCCAATTTTGTTCTACCAATTAAACATCTCTTTGTACTAAAACTTCCCACTGCAGCCCCTTTTATACCCTTAAAATCTGGGAAACCCTTGAGCAAATTGTGGAGGGCTGAAGGAGGCCAGAGAAGACTTGCTAGAACAGTGGTTCTCAACCTGTTGGTTCTCAGGTGTTTTGGCCTACAACTTCCAGGAAACCCCAGCCAGTTTACCAGCTGTTAGGATTTCTGGGAGTTAAAAGACCAAAAGATCTAGGGACCCACAGGTTTAGAACCACTGTGTTAGAGCAATGCTGGATTTCAGTAACTGTAGGAAAAATCCTCTTATCTGGTTGATCATCTAGACAGCAGAAGTATCTCAAATATCAACAATGCTGTTGAAATAAAATTACAAGTCCTTTGGGGAACCTCAAGAGAAGCTATAGTACACTGTGTGGCCAGGCAGATGGGCTAATAATGAACAGTAATTAGATCAGAGGCAATCTCATTTGAAAGAAGAAGTCAATTTATAAATACCTAGTAAATAGAACTGTAGTTACATTACTTTTTAATAATGCAAATAGTATCCATGTAACAGCTCTTGTTGATATCCTAAATATAACTGCTGCAAAGATGGAGTGAACTGTATTCAGCATAATAGTTATTTAACATGAAATATAAAATGTAATATTATCTATAAACAATCCATTACCTAATATTATGCCATTGTTTTAACAAATAAAATAAGAGCTTTTCAAATTGGCATCTGCACTGCAAGGCTGTACATATAAAATGGAGACTAAGGGGAAAAAATCTATGAAATCCCAACCCTTCCTGTTTATGGTCTGTTTATTCCTACCAAATGCAAAGTTTAAAAAAGCAGTATTTATAGAATAATAGGGTTTCAGATACTTACTATCAAGGACCCATAAAAGAGAATGACTACCTAATTAACTACAATCTCTATAAAATTCTGTATGACATCATAACAGATCAAAACTATCACTTAAAATGAAATGTCCACTTCAATATTAGCCAGATCAAAAAATCTACTACAAATTCTGGTTCTAAAATATACCAATTCAGACATCATGGTTGGATGGAGATGCAAAAATCTTAGAAAATTCACAAGTTACATTAGATCTTTTTGTAATCTAATGCAGGCTAAGCATGATGCCTGAGGAGGATGCTTGCCCATGGACAGCATACCTCCTCAGTCACCTCTGCAGCCCCCCAAGCACTGACAGGGTTTTCCCTCTCTCCAAATAGCCACTGTACTTGTGGTTGTGAGTTAATTTTAAAGAAAGTCTACACATTCTCTCAGAGGATGAATGCTCCCCCAAAGCCTTCTGGAAGCACTAGATGGTAAACAAGGCCTGTGTGCCTTTGCTTCTGGAGAAAACAGCATTGATGGAAGGTTTCCAGGAGCCCTATTAGCTACTGAAGGAAAGCATATGTACTTGCTTGATTGTTATATTGTTCAAGCCCAAAAAAGTCATAGCTTCCATCACAACAATTTGGGTGAGACTCTCCATGAGGCAAGCGAAGAGACTGGCTTTTGGATATGGACATTGCTTATTCCTATTTCAATCCGCACTCTGTTTTGAATCACAGTTCCCCTTTTCCTGGGGCTCCTGAACAGGCACACAGCTGTCCAATGGCATCCAGTCCTTGCTTCAACTCCAAATTTAGAAGAGGGATTCAAATTGCAGCTTCAGGCAAGTGATAGTATGACTGTGCAAATGTCATTACACTAACCTACATTCAACTGAAAAAAGAATATTACAGTGGAGTCTCGCTTATCTGACATAAATGGGCTGGTAGAACGTTGGATAAACAAAAATGTTGGATAATACAGAGTCTCCTACTGTTACCCGTCCGATGTGGCACTAGACACTTAGAATACTAACAACAAGGACTCAAAGGGTTATGGCAAGGCAACACCTAGGAGCTAGAGATGCCCAGCAGGAAGTGCCCAGATGCGTGGAAATCACAGAGGGAAGGAGGGAGGATGCTTCCGCTTCCGGTCCTGCCTCTTTCCCCCCTTTCCTCCCTCCTCCTCCTTGTCTTGCCTTTTTCACTTATTGGGAAAGGAGAGAGAGTTGGGAAGCACTGCTTTAATTGAAGGGGAAATGTTGGAGGAAAAGGGGGGCATCAGGTAAGAGCGTCAGATAAGCAGGAATGTCAGATAAGTGAAGATCGGATAAGTGAGACTCTACTGTACTACAATATTTACTAATATTAAAAGATCTAAGGGAGAACAGCTGGTTTATTTTATATCTGTACTTTTAAAATTTTCTGATGGGGGAGGGGTTTGACATCCCTCCCCCCCCCCCCCCCCCCCCCCCCCCCCCGAGCTCAATATGTCTGGGACCAGCACCCGCTCGGAAAGTAGTATTTTGAGCAGCACTATTATATACTGTCTATTTCAGAGGTTCTCAACCTGTGGGGGTCCCCAGGTGTTTTGGCCTTCAACTCCCAGAAATCCTAACAGCTGGTATACTGGCTAGGATTTCTGGGAGTTGTAGACCAAAACACCTGAGGACCCACAGACTGACAACTACTGGCTATTGTCTACACTGCTATACCCTCTATGCAATGACAGCATAATACAAGATGGATTATATTAATTTCTATATATATATATATATATCTTAGTACTAAAATATTACAGTTATGGAGCTAAAACCTGTCCAACAGATCCAATAAAATGTCACTTTTCATAACAAAATGCTGCACTTTTAAAGCTTTACATGCTGCTTTTCTGAGTATATGCTCTCTGTTATTGTTTCCGCCATGTTATAACCACATGTCTATATAACTACATATTAATCTTACAACAGGAAAAAGTGGTACTTTCAAATGTGGTACACTTATTTAAATAATCTTTCTTCATTATGTTCACAACCCAAAAACCCCTGTTTCTGCCAAGTTGATGAATATTCATATTTAAAAGCAGAACATGTAAACTACCCAGCAATGAATATTCTTAGGCGTCATGAAAATAGGAGGGACAGAAGGTAGTTAGCTAACACCACAGAAAACAAATTCAACATTCAAGTGGATTTTGACAGACTGGAATACTGATCCAGAACTTATTAGATGTATAATTCTTTATTTATGCACCAAATAAAAATGAAACACACAAATATCAATTGCTTTGACAGCAATATATATATTTAAAGTTCTAGATGTCTAAAAAGAACACAGTCTGA